TGGCAATACTTCAAAACCAACATAACAGTCAATCTGAAGTTAACATTCCTGATTACCATTTTTACTCGAACAAATTTTTCGAGTAAACAGTTTACAAAGAGAACGCCATTTTGTTTTGTGTTCTCTTAAATTTGGTTCAATGTTTTACCAGTTTTGTGGGTTTAAGAACGGTTTTCGAGTAAAAAGTTGAAAAACTTGCAAAATTTTAGATTGTTTTAGGTTCTGGAACGGAACTATTGTGTTCAATGTATGACATACTATCATCAGCTGACGTACATTTATATCAAATAAAGTAATGAAGGAAAATACTAAAAGGCGATGTTATCGTAATAAAATCAATATAAGGACAAATATTGAAAATCAACCCATAAAACATAATGCTTTGGCTTTAAGTGCCAAGTTTCTCTATTTTACTAAAAAAAACAAAAAATGAAAGCAGATCATATATCAAAATAGATGGCATTTGCCACACGGTAATGTTTATGGTGTAACATTTATGGTTTAGTGTTGCCAATCTATTTTACTGAGTCTACTCAGTTAACAGTGTCATGTGTATTAGGTATTAAAAACAAAACTTTTTTTTTTTAATTTTTATTGAATATTTACTTTTATTTTCACCTTTTATTTATACAACAACGAAATTATTAATTTGTTGGTTTTCTTTGGGTTTACATAGACACATACATACAAAATTTAAAAAGGGAATTAGTCAATTTTTCTTCTTGCTTTATTTTACCGATTAATTGTAATAAAAAACATTCGAATCTTTAAAAATATAAAATAATTGTTGTTTCATGCCGTTTTGTTATTCGAAATTTCCTGTTTTTTTTTTCATTTAGTAATCAATTTGTAATTTTGTGTATATATTTTTTTGGTTTGTTTAGTTTTTTCCTTATTAGGTTTTGCTTCGAATAAGAATATAGTAAATGTTAAGTATAAATATTATTGTATCGATTGATATGCAAATATGTCATTTTTTTTACTAATATTTGTTATGTTTTTCATCGCTCTTTGTTGAGTAATTTCTACAAAATTAATAACAAAATTTTTTTTTTGAATATACAAAAGACGAATATTAAATAATCAGACTACGTTTTGTTTTGGTTTAATGTTTTATTTTGAAAAATATTATATTTACATGTTAAAAAAATTTTGTAAATATAAAAAGGGCGCTTAATGTTTGTTTAATTATTTTAATATAAGAAATTATAAAAATAGCACTTGGTCTGTACGTTTGTACTGGAGACTTTAGGCATCAAGTTTGCTCATTGTCATCTGTTTGTTTGAATTCTTGAAATTTTAATTTACCTTGTTTGGTGGTCGATAAAATCCGATTTGTCATCTAACAAAGTAAAATCTAAAATTTAATTTTCTTAACTTTTCGCAGTTCAGTATTATAATAACACTATTTGAAGTGAACAAACACAATGCGTTCATTCAATGCTATTCAGCGACATTAAAAATGGCTCTGTTCCAGAACTTCTGCAAAATGTATTAAATGACATTTTTACGATTTCCCCTCATAAATTTTGAAGGATACGGGAACAGACCAATTGTTTTGAAATTGGTTTTAAACAACATATTCGGACTGTTTCCGTACTAGAAGAATCTACTATTTTTACTACGATAACTATTTTTCCGTTATGATAACGTAGTAAAATCATAACGTAGTAAAATTTTGAATATTCCTGCAGATTTTGGAACTGCCATATTATGTTTAAAATATACAAAATGCAAATGCCAAGACCAAATGCTAAAAAGGGCGCTTGATTTTTGTTATTCAAATTACACTTTATTCATATAAGATAATAAAAAAAAACAATTATAATTATAAAATGTAAATCTCAATAAATGTTAGTGTTGTGTTTGTTGATTTTTTCACTTTGGTATTTTTATAAAAATATAAATTCTAATATATTTTGTTCAATTAAAATATATTTTTCAAATTGCTTATCAGGTTGTTTCTTTGTTGTTGTTGGAAGTTTGTATTTAAAAAATATTCTTTTTCTCATATTTTTTGTTTTTGTTTTGAAATTTTGTGTGGACTATTTTTGTAAACTAATTATCGCCAGTATTTACTAAACATTTGTTGTTGTTGTGTAGAATGTTGTTGCATTGTTTTTTTTTTAATTTTCCAACCGTTATGTTTGCTTTGTTGTTTGTTTTTCTAATAGAATTTCGCTTTCACTTGTTGTTGTTGTTTTGTAACATGATAACATATTATTGTATGACTTGTTGTTGTTGTTTCAAAACTACAAATTAATGAAGTATAAAAGTACAAAATTTTTGTTTTATTTTTTTATATTCTTCTTTGTTTTTTTTTTTGTTTTTAATATAATTTCTACATGATTTGTTGACTTGTCTTTTTTTATAGATTTATAAATATATATTTATATAAACATCTTGTTTATGTTTTGTTTTTGTTTTTGTTAAAGGTACATAAATGTTGTTGTCTTGACTTAAAAAATTAAAGTTTTTGTTTTTTTTCATTTGAATAAAAAATTGTTTTGGTTTTTGTTTTCTTGCATGCATATTTATTAAAGTTTTCTTTTGTTGTTGTTCTTGTTTTGGTTTAAGAATATAATTACTTTATATATGTTGTTTTTTTTTTTGTAACAATAGCACATTTGATTCATTACTTAGGTTCATTCTTTGTCTAATTTTGTTTTTTTTTTTGAATCTAAAATCTAATTTCAAACACTTGAATATTATTTTTTTTGTATTCGGTTTTTTATTTGTTATTGTATATATAAAAATACAAAGTGTCTTAGCGTATCGAAAATTATGGGAATTATAAAAAAGAGGCCTTAGGTAATTGGAAAATAATGACGATAATAATACGAATAATATTTTGAATATTAATGGTGGGTATTTCACTGTAATAAGTTGAGGCTTTTGCAAGAGGTTATTTTTTTGTATATATAGTATATGTAGTTGATAAATGAAGTTATGTTAAATAAATAAAAGTTAAGAGGAAATTTTAAAGCAATAGTAAATGTATAGGTGTTGTAACCGATCAAATCGCCAATTCGAGGAAATCGACATAGTGAGTGCATTTAATTTTGTGAGGTATTTAGCAAATATATCGAGATAATACATGTTATCACGATATTAAACCGCATGTACATTACAACTTTTTACTGGGTTAACATACTTTATTAGGATTTTTTTTGACATATATCCAATGAAATTGACAATATAAACCCACAGGGTTAACGAAATTCAGTGCAATGTAACTGTACTATAAGATATGGTATAAACGCATAATTTTTTTTATGAAATTATGTTGTTTATTTCAAATATATTCAACGTATTTCGGTTAGAGCCGCTTGGCCTGTCACTACAAAGTACAACCCATAAAGTATGCTACATATTTTGCAAAATCAACGCAAGTATTTGTGTAACATCGGCCTTTGATTATGGTGCATAGGAATTCAACAAGGATTTTAGTGAAATGTTTCCTGTTTACATTGCAACATCATACATGTTTTTGTTGACGTTTCTTGCAACATGTTGCATTGCGCATGTTGCTTCATGCTTTGTTTACTAGAGCTGGAGCAGTTGAATAAGCACTGTAACTCTAGGATTGACGTACGTATAGTTCCGTTCCAGAAACTGAACGAATTTTTTACAAGTTATTACAACTTGTTACCGAACCCCGTTCTTTTAGCCACAAAACTAGTAAATCTTTCAACGAAATTTAAGAGAACGCAAACCAAAATGACCTTCTCTTTATAAAGTTTTTACTCGAGAAATTTGTTCGAGATTAAAATTGTAACCAGGAAAACTACTCGGCTCCAAATAGTTATTGAATTTACCATGATCCACGCCATTGCTGGTTGGAGCAAACAAACCGTTATTATCAGCACCATGGAAGTGAGTGGAATCAGCCAGATTACTATGATTAAATTGTGGATACATGCCCATAGCCATACTTGGAAAATAGAATGGATCGCCACCATTTTGTGGCATATCCAATGACAATGGATTGGGCGACAGAGGTCGTGCCGGTGATACTGTACCCACAAAATAGTAAAACCTTCAACAAAATTTAAGAGAACAAAAACCGAAATTACTTTCTCTTCTAAAAAATATTACAACAAGGAGAAATGGAAGCTATCAACGATTAGCATTTATTGTTCAGCTGTAGTTTTTTAAGCACTGCTATATAATTTTGACGATTTAACTCAGAACGACTTTGATTTTACTTTTTATAAAAGTATGAAAACCCATTCTCAATTAGTGTTTTGATCGATTACTACAACAACGTTTGATAAAAAAAAACAAAAACTTGAACATCATATAAATCAAATTAAAAACTAAATTATGATCATATAAAACAATAAATAACAATAAATATATTTTTCTGTTTTGTTTTTTTATTTATTTAAAAAATTAATAAAAACAGTTTTGTTTGTTTGCTTTAGGCAATTGGTATCAATAATAAAAATGTATAAAAAGTATAAAAATTTCTCTACATAAAAAATGATTTTCAATACAAAAAAATATATGTATAAAACGTATGTATGTAACAAATTATAAAAATAATATAATAGTTTTTAATAAAAAAGAAAACATTTATATGTATGTCTGTGTGTGTGGTTGTGTATGTGTATAGATTAGCATTATATAAAAAAACAGTGTTTAACAATGTTTCCAACTAATTAAATACAAAAAAATTGCAATCATATTTGTATATAGGCTAGTAAAATAATTAATAAAAACAATAATTCTTCTATAAAAAATGAGAAATTAACAATTTGATTTATAGCTACTCAAACTTAATGATTTAATGCATATAAAAAATAGATATATAAAAAACAAGAAATACATAACAAGGCTACTTAAACTGATGATGATGGCCGCAAAGGCTAAACGAGGTTGGATTGGGATTTGGGAGCAGTAGGAGAGCCTTAGATATAACATTCATTTAAAAATTGTTTAACAAGATAAATAATATTTAACAGTATAAAACGTTTGCATAATTGTTTTTTGTTTTTCTTTTCTTTTGCTTTTGTTTTTGTAATACATAGTAATATAGATTGTACAATATTATGAAAAAAATTTTGTTAAACAGTATTCCATTAATAGTTTTCTTTTTTTGTTTGTTTTAATAAATTTAGACTAAGAAAAGTGGGGGGTTTTTTTTTTGAGAGTAGGGAGATTTGGGGGATAGGTGTTTTATATATATATAATAATAGTAACATAGTGAAACTTAACAATTGAAACAAATTTTCTAGACATTTTCTTAAAGCCACAAGGTGATGGAAATATTAAATAAAAATGCAAACTCTGCCTGAAAGAGGGAAATTCATCGAACGGCTTTTCTTGTTATTTGCTTTTTAAACACACAAGTTTTTTTTTTTGAAATCCGAGAATATTGGGATATTTACATGTGTTTAGGTCAGTTTCATTCTTAACGAAAATACGTGACAGTGTTGCATTTTTTTTTTTTAATATATTCCATCTCTTGCCGAACTTTCATTCTTTTTCTTTAAATCTTGTACAAAAAGGGGTGTTGTTTCTTTTTTTCATTCCATGGAAAAATTAGCTTTAGTACATATTCTATTAAATATTAAATAGTATTTTTGTTTAAAATGTGTATAAAAAATTAACAGTGAAAAAATATATACTTTTTTGTTTATGACTTTTTTTTACCAGCTTTATCATCTTCGTCTTATTCTTCTGGTTTGTTTTGTTTGTTTTTTAGTTTTCTTCTACTAAATATTATTATGTTCTAAAAAATTACAGCTAATTACAAAAATTAGAAACAAATAAAAAAATATTTTTTATTTTCTTGTTTTTTTTTTTTCTTATATAAAGTTTTTGTTTTCTGTTTTTTCTTTTTTAATTAAGTCCTTGATGAAACTAATTTTTATAGTGTTTTTGTTTTAAGCATTTAAAAAAATATATATAATGATTCATTTATTCATTTACTTGCTTTTACAGCTAGATATTTGCAATATTGTTGTATTTGTTTTGTGTCTGGGTGTGTGTGTGTGAGTGTCTAATGGGACTCTTTGTTGTAAGTGTAGTTGTTAGGTCGACTTTTAATTGGCAACTAAAAGTTGTTGATAGGAGCCAGTGGCATTGGAATAGAATGAATTGAGACCATCGATTAGTTTCGAGTTAGCCGAAGCATTGGAGGAGTTCGACGACGACGATGATGACGAGTCTTGTTGGGTGGTGCTGTTGTTGACAGCGGTCACAGCAGCTACAACGGCATTGGCAGCGGCATTTTGACGTTCCGCATTTGCAGCTGTTACCGCCGAAGCAGTGGTAGTCGGGGGCACAGGACTGACAGCAGTGCTTTCATTGGCACTGCCATTGGTTACGGTTACAGTAATGTTGGCAGCATTGTTGGTGTTGTTGTTGCTGTTATTGGAGTTACCACCAGCCGAATCCTTGCCACCATTATCATTTGTAGCTTTCATATTACCCACCGAATGATGACCACCACCAACAACAGCCACACCAGCACCACCATTCATGGCAATGGGCGACTGTGGTTGTTGTTGTTGCTGCTGCTGTGCCATATGATGATTTCCTCCTCCAATATTGTAAAAACCATGCGGTTCCAAATAGTTATTGAATTTGCCATGACCCACGCCATTGTTGGTCGGAGCAAACAACCCGTTACTATCAGCACCATGGAAATGAGTGGCATCAAACATATTACGATGATGGTTATTAAATTGTGGATACATGCCCATAGCCATACTGGGGAAGTAAAAGGGATCGCCACCATTTTGTGCCATACCCAATGACAATGGATTGGGCGACAGAGATCGTGCCGGTGATACGGGACCAATGGGGCCAAAATGATTGCCAGGTTGGCCAGGACCACCGACGCCGTTGGGTGAATGTCCATGGCCACCATGATGTATTTGTTGCTGTTGCATGGCACGTTGTTTTATGTAATTTGAGAACTCTGTAGGGGACATACGATATGAAGTGCTGTTGGAAGAAAAAGAAAAAAAAAATATATATAGGTTAAAAGGCTTTCAATGGGCAGCAAATTAATATTTTTATTGGAGTGCCTTTATGACATAGTAATCAGGTTATTAAAGAGGTAAATTACTAATAAAATCATGATGTTTAGTGTAAAAACATGTTTACTGGAAGATATAGTTCAAATTATGTTTTTTTATTTAAACACTTATGATGTGAACGTAGTTTGAGATCATATACTTTGAGTTTCGTACTGCCAAACAGCGTTGGCAATGCCTACCACATCGAAAGCAGTTGCATGTGGTGTATCAAAACAAAAACATCTGTTTTTTATTCGACCATCTGTCAAACTTTATCTCGTAATATTTAACATGGTTGGCAACATTGCTCATCGAATTCAACATGATGCAATAATAGCTCTGTCTGTTAACTCGATATTTGGTAACAATTGTTACCAAATATTACTAAATGTTGTCTGTTTACACAAAAATCCAGTAAAAGAGAGTCAAGTGAGAGAGCAAGTTTGACAATTGAACAACAACAAAGTTGCTGGAGTTTACTGAAAGAATTTTATTCACTAAGATTTTGCAACTCAGCCATTTTCTGATCAGCTGTTTTCTGACCAAACACAAAAATTATTTAAAGCATTTTGTTTTTTTAATTTGCAAAGTTTAATTTGAAGTTATTTACAGAAAATGGAAGAAAATTCGTAAGTAGTGCTAAATTTCATTAAATTAGAAACTAATTCCTTATATATTTTTAGGCAAGTTCCAGATAGGGGCAATGTATTGATGCAGGGGCTTAAATGTTCCCGGGGAATATACCAGATCAATTTTTCTTTTATTATTCATTTTATTTTTAATATTAAATCCAATACAAATAATTGTGTTCGTCCTTTGTTTGTTGTTTATTTTGGCGCAAATCAAATGTTTTCTTGAATCAGCTGTTTATTTGCTAAATCTTACTAAATGTTGCCTGTTTACTTTTTTCAGTATTATCGCAAAAGAGAGGAAGAAAGGCTTATTCTCTGAACTAGAACTTACTGAATAAATGTTACTGGAAAAGTAACCAGACACACCTAATAAGGTGATGTATCACAACAAAAACCTTTGTTTTTGTTTCGACAAATTTTTCCTTATAATATTTCACATGGTTGGTAGTAGAGTTGGGTAGTTCCGGAACGAACTAGTTCATTGGAACTATTCCGAGAAAGGAACGATCGGAACTAGTGCCAGGTCTTTAATTAATATAGTTCCATTTTCTGATTTCGTTCCTTTTTGATCTCGTTCTTTTTTCTTTCCCTTTTTTATCGCAAAGAAACTACATTAAGGAACTAGTTCTTTTTATAGAAAGGAACGAGAAAGATCGATCCGCTAAGTGAACTAGATTGCGACCATCTGTCAAATTTTTCCTTATAATATTTCATATGGTTGACAACATTGCACATTGTATTCAAATAGAAATTACGCACTTTGACAGTTAATCGAAACATCAACTGCGCTAAATGGAGTGTCTATTTATTGTACTATGGTTGCGGCTTTTTGGTAACACGACACTCAAAGTGGACGGCTAATAGTTTTATGGTCATTATGTTTATCCAATTTTGGAATATAGCTTTTGGCTTTATTGTACAATGACTTTGTTGTCCTAGAGCGCGTTTAGACTACTAAATCCACACGATTTCAAATGTCAATTCCATAGCGTTCACAAAATCAGTGGATTATATTTGACGTATACGCCATAGAATTGACATTTAAGATCGAGTGTTTTCATTTATATTTGATGACTACATCAGCGATTTGACTACATATTTTCATATCTTTCAATTATCAAATCGTCATTTACTTACTTATTTGATCTCTTGGAATTAGTTTTCAATTTTGTTGAACCAAATTTCGTTTGAGCAAAGGTAGCAGTAGTGAATGTCAATGGTGCCTGAGAACGTTGCATAAAACCAACATTATTAACACCGGGTGCTGCAACAGGATTCGGACTTCCCTTATAGGTTGGCGAATTGGATGTAGCCGAGAGCGGTGATGAACCAGCCATTGGTGAAGTTTTTGGACTTAAACTCAAACTGTTCATGCTCGAGTTGACAGCATCAATGGGGCGGAAACATTGAGCTTCTGGATTAAATGTCTTATTTACTTCGCCATCAGCGGATGAACTATCTTCTTGATTGTCACTATTCTCCGAATAGAGAATCTAGAAAGATAAGATAATCGTTTTTTTAGAATACAATAGGAATTTGTTGATGTGTTTTACAAACATACCTTAACGGAACCCTTTTCACCAATACGATAAGACACCTCACCGGGATCAACCCATACGGAAAGCTCATTTGGAAGATTTTCCAATATATCTGTTATTGGAACACCACTTTCACGAGCAGCACGTTCCAAAACGGAATCAATTGGATCGCCAGTTTTTAGGCAACGAAATGCAGAACCCTGAAAATTGAAATGACATGAGATAAAAAAATATACAAAGTATAAAGAGATTATACAAATTAAAGAAATTGTAAGTAAAACATGTATGACAGTGCACAGAGGCGTTTTAGTTGGCTTTTCTGGCTTGAGAGGGAACACATAAGCGGACTTCAGGCATGGTATGTTCCGCTGATTTTTTTAATGCATTATGTAATCATAAGACGATAAAAAACATCTGTTTTTTCGATTATCCGTCAAATTTTATCTAGAAATATTTGTCATGGTTGGCAACATTGTACATCAAATTCAAGTATAAGCCATTTGTTTTTGTCTCGACCATCTGTCAAATTTTTCCTTATAATATTGCACATGGTTGGCAACATTTCACATCGAATTCAAGTAGAAATCGAGTTATCAGCTGCGCTAAATGGACTACCTATTTAATCGAATTCAAGTAGAAATTACCCACTTTGACAGTTAATCAAGACATCAGCTGAGCTAAATGGACTAAATTATTGTACCATGGTTTAATGCATGATGCAATAATAATGTGATGTATCAAAACAAAAACATTTGTTTATGTCCCGACCATGATGAAATAAGGTGATGTATCAAAAACCTTTGTTTTTGTCTCGATTATCTGTCAAATTTTTCCATATAATATTTCAAATGGTTGGCAACACTGCACATCGAATTCAAGTAGAAATTACCCACTTTGACAGTTAATCAAGCCATCAGCTGAGCAAAATGGACTATCTATTCAGTGTGCCATGGTCCCGACCATCTGTCAATTTTTTTATAGCAATAGAAACTACGCACTTTGACAGTTAATCGAATCGTCAGCTGCGTTAAAAGTACTACCTATTTATTATGCCATAGTTTAATGTAAAAAAATAAAGGAGAACGTCATACTAAATCAACTTTGACTCTGATGATTTTAAATTTTATACAATGCGAAATTAACATGCCATGCTTGAATCCTCGTATGTGTTTCTCCCTTTAGTCATCAAAAGCATTTATTCTGCCTTGATCGATTGTTGTGTTAAATTCGAAGGATTGATATCTACTTTAGACATTTTTACTAGTTTTAAGATTTTAACAGAAACATGTACAAAACAAAGATCCGGATACAAGAATTAAGAGGGACACATACGAGAATTCAGGCGTGGCATGTTTAGTTGGATTGGTATAAAATTTCAATTTATAAAGGAATATCAGAGTCAAACATGAATTTGGACGCTGTTCACCTTTATTCTTTTACAATAAAAAAAGGCCAACTTAACATGTCAATCCTGAAGTCCTCTTATGTGTTTGCCCCTTGAGTTCTTTAACAAAAATCAAAAAATTATATGAGAATTAAAATACGTTATTAAAATTATCTACATACCTTAACGGGTTTCTCAGGATACCAATGGCCTTGGAATTTATCCTTCAGCGCCTTTTCCAATTCCTCACCAAATATATTTACACGCCGCCGGGGCAGTTTGTTGTACAGATACGAGATAACGAAATTTAATGCCACTTGTATTTCAATATGCATTTTTGTTAGTCGTTGTTTCGGTTATTTGTTTGAAGTAGAATGGGTCGGTCGGTTGGTTGGTAGTTTATATATATATATATTATATATATGTATATCTCTGTGTGTTTGAGTGTGGTGTGTATGGCTTGGCTCTTCAGGGCCTTAAATATCTCACGGCTATTTGATGGGCTTTGTTGAGTTCTTGGTAGTTTTCTTCTTTTTTTTTATTGTTGATGGTTTTTGTTTTAGTTTTCTTTTGTCTGTCCGTTTGTCCAGTGTTTTGTTTTAGTTTGTAAGCGTAGTGGTGGTAGTATTTGGTTGTGTAGGTGTAAATGTTTGTTTTGTCTTTTTCTTTCTGTTGTTGTAGTAGTATGTTATTATTATTATTGTTGTTGTTGTTGCTATTCTATTGTTTCTAAGAATGCAATTGTTTGTGTGTTCAAGGACTCTCTTTGGATTTCGATGGTAAAGGGGGAAGAGGAGACGTGGTTTTTTTATTGCAATGCTTTTTGTTGTTACTTTTATGGACTTCTCTTCTTTGGCAACGTTTGTTTCGTAGTAGTATCTGTTTGTATTTTTGTTGTTGTTGTTGTTGTTGTATTTCAATTATAAACAGTAGATAGATATTAGTGACTGTGGAACTGCTTCAATTCTCAGCTTTGTCCTTTGTGTTGTTGCGGTAGTTTGTTGGTGTGTTTTTGTTTTTGCTTAATAGTTTCGTTGGATTTCTACGACTGGTGGTTAAACTAATGATCTGTAAAAGAATAGAACGATAGATATATTAGTTGGAATAAGCCATTAGCAGTATTGCGCAATAAATATTTGAAAAAGGTTAAAGTTCAAATTGATGTTATGGATGAATTTAAAGGTGGATGCACACAACGAAATACATTTCAATATTGTAGCATAAATTTAGGCGCAAATTTATGAAAATAGATATTAATTAATTCTTGAGAAATTAAATCAATTTTGTTGAAAATAAAATAACGGTTATATTTTACGAATTCTTTTGACCAAACATAATTATTTTTTGACATGTACCTAGATTGTTTACGTTTTCAATTTGTGAAATCTATTCACTATAATTAATTTTGACATCAAACCTGAGAAACAGCTGATTACTGCAGCCTTTATCGTGATAATGTGCATTAGCTCGTGATTATCAAACAAAATTAAACCCACTTTGGAACGGAACTTATGTTAAGTTAAAAATTGTGTAAATTTACATTAAAAAAATCAATATCTATTCTCAGTGTGAACCTCATTGTGCTCGACTACACGTTTTTCAAGATGCTGCCAAACATATAACAAATAAATCATGATTGAATAATAAGGTGATGCATCAAAACATTTGTTTTTTACCCGACTATCTGTCAAATTTTATCTAGTAATATTTCTCATGGTTGGCAACATTGCACATTGAATTCAAACTGCGCACTTTGACAGTTAATCGAATCATGGCACAAGAAATCGATAGTCCATTTAGAGCAGCTGATGTCTCGATTAACTGTCAAAGTGGTTAATTTTACTTGAATTCGATGTGCAAAGTTGCCAACCATATGAAATATTTTAAAGAAAAATTTGACAGTTGGTCGAGACAAAAACAAAGGTTTTTGTTTTGATACATTATTTTATTATTGCATCACGAATCGAATAGTCAGCTGCGCTACCTACTGCCCTGAAATACATGGACACAGTCAAGATTTATTAATAAGCGAAAATCGGATGTTTATTCTGTTTTAGCTTTTACTTCTGAAATTTGCACATTAAAAATCTCATTCGGATAAACACTTCTAGATCTTAATATTTAAATTTTTTTTTTTTAAATCTTCAAGCTAAATCCTTTGGATAAATCGTAATCCTAAACGCTAATTCGGCATCTGTGTTGCTGACAGCGTTCGCACACACATGGAATGTTTTGAGTAACCTGTCCATTTATTATATAGTGTTGCAATTCATGAAAAATATATGATTTTTCATTACGTTTGTTTACAAATTCATGTTAATATAATTTCTAAAACTTCATTCTAGATATTATTTTATAAATTCTAAATGTTTCCATAACAATTACTGTTCACTGAAATGATTTTGTTTTGGCGAAATATTTGCCCACTTTTAATAATTTCTACACAAATATGAGTAATGCACATACAATGTTTAGATGTGCGTGTGTAGTTCACTGTTTGGCATTTACAATTGATATTCATACTATGTGCACATATATGAATAAAAATTTCAATTAATTTTTTTGCAAGTTTATGTCAAACATAAACGTGCAATATTTGTAATTGGTTTTACTCGGGGTTTTCAATTTTAGTTACTTAGTTACCGATTTATATCCTGGTGACGATACATTAGGCACACGACTAGAAGTCTAACTGCTGCGGATACGGATATGTACAGCACATGTACATTCGAACACTCACTCACACACACGCTCGAAGACAGCACACACGTTTCACAAAAATCAATTTGGCACAATTTCCGCACGACTTAACGAACAAACGACGACAGGTTAAAATTTTGTACAAAATGTGTTATTGCCGCTGTCTTTTTTCCAAAACTTAATACTCACTTCAATATTCCCAACATGTATTGAATTCTAAGCGTTTTAACAATTACAAGTTTTCAAAAGAAATTCTAAACTAATCGACGTTTGAGAAGAGATGGTGTAAACGTGAGTTTAATGTTTTTATTTCAGATTTCCTAGCAACGCTAAGTTAAACAATTTTCACTTTTCATGATTTGATTTCGAATGAACTTTAGAACAAAATTTCAATTTCATTATACCCATCAAGCTAAACAACAAATCTTTGATAATTGCCAAAGATTTGCCAAAAAACACAAAATCCCCTCTCTGCATAAAATAAACGATGAGGAGAACAACAAAACATGAAATAAAGAATTGTAATAACATCAACAAAAGTGCAAATTTTATGATGTAATAGATAATCATAACCCAACCAGCTGACCAGCTGAGAGGAGAGTCGTTCTGTCTTCGGTTTTTCTATAGAATAGAACTGGCAACAAGCAAAACAAATTCACTTTCTTTTGTTTGTTTGTTGCCAACGATGTGGTACAATAAAAACAATAACACAAAAACGAATACAATTAGACAAGCAAAAGGAATAAAAAGAAGACATTTAATTTTTTTTTTTACATTAGGAAATTCTTGGCATTGAAATTTCTTTTTGTTGTAAAGAACGGTTTTTATGTGACAGAATTAAATAAATACTAAAATGTATATAGTAGTTAGAATTTGTTTAACAATTGCTTGCATTTTATTCAAAATAAAACAAATTGTTTCAATAAATCAGCTGATGTTTGTTTCAGCCGATGTTACACTATTGTGTCATATTGCAAATTTAAATCACAATAGTGAGTGTTGATATTTGATCTAATAATCAGCTGGTCGTGGTTTGGGACCTTACAAATCAGTCATATCTGTGCAAATCTCTCAATTATTAATTAAAGTGCAACCAAGGCTTATTAATAAAGTCATCCAGGGAAATCAGCTGGATATCAGCTCAAGTTTGTTGTCAAAATCCATTGTGAATAAACTCTCATTATAAAAAAGTGAACAAAGATAAAATTTTTGACATTATACTTGAGAAAAAACAGCTGACTTTCGCTTAATGGATCTTGAGCGCAACCTTTCTCCTATTACAATGGCCAAATTTTTTCAAACCGCAAACTAAAAAATTTTGATAAGTTTTTAACCCACTTTTATCCCTATTTGTATATCGTATGATGATTATTTTGCAAACACAATTGTAAATCATATGTCAACTGCATTTGTTGCCATTTCCCTTACTCTATTCTATTCATTTCAATTTCAAAACTATTCACTGGCAAACGAAATAATAATTAAAACATATTCAATGCACAGAATACACATACATATCGAATTGAAGTGTCATAAATCACATGTTTATATTCGTTTTAGTAATTATTTTATTTTCTCTTTATTTTATTTATTGCGGTTTTCTTTTGTTTGATTCTATTTTGTGTTGTAAATGTGGAAAAGTGTGCCTTAAAAATTAATTTATAGATATGTACACTCATAAAAAGTTGTCGTTTTATTCTATTTTAATATTAAGGTTTTATTGTCCATAATACTCAAAAAAAGTCCAAATACTTTTTTGCAGAGCAGGAGATGAGTGCACTGTACACCTTATGACAGATATTCAATATAATTAAAAACTTGACAACAAACTGTGTAACTTTATGAGTGGCCATGTGCAATAATAAGGCAATGCATCAAAACAGAAAAAATTGTTTATTACCCGACCATCTGTCATTTTTTTTTCTAGTAATATTTCTCATGGTTGGCAACGTTACACATGGAATTTTAGAAGAAACTACACACGTTGATAGTTAATCGAATAGTCAGCTGAGCCATGGCACAATAAATAGGTAGTCAATTTAGCGCAGCTGATGTCTCGATTAACTGTCAAAGTGGATAATTTCTACATGAATTCGATGTGTAGTTACTTGAATTGGAAATTTTATAAGAAAAAATTTGACAGATAATCGAGAGAAAAACAATGGCTTTTGTTTTGATACATCACATTATTACTGCATTATGGTTTCTGCTTGAATTCAACGTGTAATGTTGCCAACCATGACAAATATTTCTAAATAAAATTTGACGATTTTAGAATAAAAAATACTTTTTATTTGACAGATGTTCGATGAAAACCACTTTTTAATATTTTTACCATCGACAAACATTACGGAAAATATCAATTATTTTAAGGAGAAATCCTTCGATAAAATAGAATTCCAAATAGAAAACATTTTGACAGGTGGAGTATGAATCAGCTGATGTGGCTGAAAAAATATATATTTGTGTTTATTTCAGTAGCAATTTTTAACAATATTTTCATTTAAATAAATATGACATTATTTAAAACACCTCATGATTGGATCCCGTTTTAATACACCTGTCATCTTCTACTAATTTGTTTACACTCAAAGATAACAATCAGTTAAATCGACTATGAAATGTTATTACATACCTATTCGAGAGAATTCAAATTATACTTTTTCCAATTTTAGTTTAGTTGTTGTTTATGTTTACACACACAGATG